TTGATTTATTTTTATAAATATATACAAGGGATGCACTGATACCATTTTTTGAAGTACTGATACTTGGCCAAGTACTCACAGATACAAGTACTGATACATTTTTGTTTATTGTCATGTGACAGTTTTTCTAAAACAATACAGACTAATGATTTCAGGACAGTGGTGGGGTGCTAGAGCCAGGTCCCAGCTGCAACCACTGCCACCCTGGTAGTTCTCATGAAAATGCCAAGTGTGTGTGTGTGTGTGTGTGTGGCTTGCGTTGCTTGTACTTGTGTAGTCCTACATCAGCATCCTTTAGGTCATACTCTCTATTCCTATAGGCTTAATTATGTAACATTGCTTAGCTTTTGTTTTCTTTCTATTCACAGGTCTTTTGTCTTGCTCTGTACACTGACTGTACCCAGGATTTGTCACCTTGCTGGCTGTTGTCACACGCAGAGCTGGTGAGAGGTATGATTCTGCATTCACACCCCTTTGGGTACATCAGCAAAACCATTCATCCCTACACAGTGTTAATAGCTCCACAATGTAATCCGATACTTTTTTTTTCTGTCTTTTGCAAAAGAGATGGATTTGTAGAAAATGTATTATTTTGTGTATAGCCAAATATAAAGTATCCATATTTAACCCAGTAATGTATGCAGAAAATAGTAAAATGTACACTTAAAGGAGAACTATGGGGTCAGTGTTTTTCCCCATAGTTCTCCTTAGGGTAACGGGAGGACACAAACTAGCGTCCTCCCGTTACCCTAAGCTCAGTATACCGCGAGCTACAGCTAGCGGTATACTGAGACGCCGTAGCGGATCTCGACATGGACGTCGAGATCCGCCCAGCTGCGTGAGTGACAGCTGGCTCTGCCTATCTAGAGGCAGAGCCAGCTGTACCCTCCCCCGTCCGTTCCGCCAGTCAGCGCTGGCGGAGCGGGGAGAGCGAAATCCAGCCCCTCCCCCTGTCACAGCAGAGAGCCATGACAGGATCGAGAGGTGAGCGAACCCGGTATGTGTTCGCTCACCTCCCGATCTACTGAGCCGACCTGTGACAGTCTCATTGTCACAGGTCGGCTAGAAATCACTCCTCTCATAGTTCTCCTATAATCCTTGCCGCAATATGCCTTTGTACTAGTCTCCAGTAGTTCCTTGTGCATTAGAACTTGGATTTTTTTGTTTGGTTTTGCATATAGTGGGGGAATGGTTCTAACAATGGTTAAGTTTTTTTTTTTTTTTTTTTTTTTTTTTTTGGTCTTTATCCCCAAC